TGTGTATGTGTGTGTGTGTGTGTGTATGTATGTATGTATGTATATTTATATATATGTATATATATATATATGTATATATACACACATGTATGTGTGTGTGTGTTTGTGTGTGAGTATGCACACACACACACAGATATATATATATATATATATATACATATACATATATGCAAATACACACACACACACACACATATATGTATATATAATATATGTGTGTGTGTGTGTACATATATACATACACATGTACACACACACACACACACACACACATATATATATATATATATATGAAGCACCTAAAATCATATGTGCAATAATGCATTTGTGTACAAAATTTCAGATAGCAGACTACATATTCTAATCCGTTGTTTATAATTTAATTGTATATGTTGACAAAACTATATACATTTTAATCATCTGCCAATATATATCTAACTCTCTATCTGTAACTGTAACCGAAAGATAACGGAAAGAAATAAAAAACGACTAGATGAAACGATGAATAACAATATCCAAGAAGGAAGATCATATTCCGTGGGCCTATACGAGACAAAGAAAGCTTATAATGCCCTTAATAATTAAAAACACTAAATGGAGTTATCACCACAGAACAAAGAGTTGTGAATCCAACACAAGATATAAAAAAAACTTCCTGTTCGCAATTTTCTCTATGGGCTTTCGGTCAAGGCCATTTCCCAAACGCCGAATGACGGTGCAGAGGGAGTGAAAGGCGTCGGGCGGAGCGGAAGAGCCTGACGCACGGTATATAAGCGTCTAGTCCCCTTGCTCTTCATTCAGTTCGACTCCGTCTCTCAACAATAATGATATCGGTAAAACAGTGTCTAAATAACGTGAGATTCTTATGAATTTATTAGTGCTGCGTAAAAAAATAGCTTAACAAATGCTTTGTTTTCCTCCTCTGCAGAAATTAGTGCTCTGTGGTGTGATCGCCGCCGTAGCATCACTGCCCCAAAGTCCGTCTACCTCCTACGGGACTCCTAATGTGGGATCTGGAGGAGGATTCGGTGGCAGCGGGTTTGGAGGTTCCTCGGGAAGTGGAGGTTTCGGAGGAGCTGGCAGTGGCTTCGGAGGAGCAGGCAGTGGTTTTGGGGGAGCTGGCAGTGGCTTCGGAGGAGCAGGCAGTGGTTTCGGAGGAGCAGGCAGTGGTTTTGGAGGAGCTGGTGCTGGTTTCGGTGGAGGAGCAGGAGCAGGCCTTGGAGGAGCTGGCAGTTTTGGAGGAGTAGGAAGCGGATCATTAGGAGGAGGGTCATCTGGAGCGGGATACACAGGGTCCTCAGGAGGAAGAGGTGCCGGAGCCTCTCATCGTGGTTCATCTGCAGGAGGATTTGGAGGCTCAGTAGGAGCTTCAAGAGGCTCTGGTGGAAGCGGTTTCGGGGGCTCTTCAGGAACTAGTTTCGGGGGTTCATCCCTTGGTGGATTTAGAGGTTCATCGGCAGGATCTAGAGGATCATCTGGAGTAGGCTTTGGAGGCTCATCCGCAGGAGGATTCGGAGGCAGTGGCGCTGGAGGCGCTGGAGCTGGAAGGTACAGCGGGTCCTCTGGGCCTGTGATTCCCATCCTCAGGAACGATCGCCAGGGACCCGATGAGTTCGGAAACTACAACTTCAACTTTGAAACTGGCAATGGCATCAGTCGACAGGAACAGGGTGCCCCTCAGGGACCAACTGGCGCCGTGGCCTCTCAAGGAGCATGGTCGTAAGTATCCACATTTCAAAGTCCCTCAAAAGCGAAAAGTATCATGTGTCCAGACCTATAAACAAAGCTTTTCAAGCGATTACTTTAATCATAACGAACTGTTTCCAGGTTTACTTTCCCTGACGGCACTCCAGCTAACTTCAATTTCGTTGCTGACGAGAACGGTTACCGTGTGGAGTCCGACCTGCTGCCCACTCCCCCTCCCCTCCCCCCACACGCCATCGCCCAGATCGAGAAGGCTCGTCTGGAGGATGCCGCCGCTGCTGCTTCCGGTGGGCGAGGTGGTTACAGTGGCCAGTCAGGTTCCGGTTCCGGACAGTTCTCAGGATCTGGCCAATCAGGCTTTGGTTCCGGACAGTTCTCAGGATCTGGCCAGTCAGGCTTTGGTTCCAGTCAGTTCTCAGGATCTGGCCAGTCAGGCTTTGGTTCGGGTCAGTTCTCAAGCGCTGGTCAAAGCGGCTTTGGTTCTGGTCAGTTCTCAGGTGCTGGCCAGTCAGGTTTTGGCTCTGGCCAGTTTTCAGGTGCTGGTTCTTCTCAAGCCCCAAGCAGGTCTTATGGCTATCCATAAAAATGATTAATCATAGGATTGGCTAAGCACTTATTGCCTGAACTCTACATGACAAGAATGATATTGCCAAGAATAATTATTCTAATGATACGTTGCTACCTGAAGAATACACTGAATTATTAAATATCAGTTATTAAATATGGACTTGTATTTCATTGTTACTTTCAATTATATTTTGTTGTCTAAGACTTCCACGCAATACTAAATGATACA